TTGTTTAATATCGTCAATCTGCAGAGAGGAGTGGAGAGAGCAGTCGTGTATTAACAAAAGTCTGCTTTATGTCAATTAAGTACAAGATAAAAAGCACAACGTTTTATTAATTTAGTCTGTACCAAATGTAAAAACAAAAACACAGCCGCACCTCTTTGTTTTTTCGATCCAGCTGATCTTGTTTCTGTTTGCACTTCAGCGAGGCTTCTTTGATGGCAGCAGTCTGAAAAACAACAACCTCATCTTCACCACCATCATTACAGGACTTGTGAACTGAAATTGCAATATGAACTTATTTTACAGTCTCTAATTCAGAGTTCATTTACTACAAAATCATCATCATCATTTATTTATATAGCACTTTAAAAGCACACCTGGTAGACCAAAGTGCTCTACAATACAAATATGCATATAGTAATAAGATAGCAGAAACCAGACGTAGCAATAAAATTAATTTAAAAAAAAAAGTCAGTTACCCACAGAGTTAAAAGCCAGGGAATAAAAACAGGTTTTTAATAAAGACTTAAAAACTGGCACTGATGTAGCCTGTCTAATATGGAGAGGAAGGTTATTCCAAAGCATCGGCGCTGCAACAGAGAACGCTCGGTCTCCTCCAAGTTTCAGCTGTGACTTTGGGACCGAAAGCAGCAACAGCTCAGCTGACCGAAGGGAACGAGTGGGGACGTGGGGCTTCAACAGGTCAGACAAATAAACAGGTGCCAAACCATTTAGAGAGATTTAAAAACCAATAAAAGGATTTTAAAACGGATTCTAAATTGTATTGAATAAATTTAGAAAAAAATAATGTATCCCTGCATCTGCTCGTGAAACTGGACGCGTTACAGAGTACCAGCCTTTGATTTGTCACCTTATCCTTTATCTGTGCCTCTGTTGGCTTCAGCTGCTCGTCAATCTGTTGGATCTTCTTCACCATAGGCGCCTGGGTCTGCTTCAGGCTTGAAAGCTGCTTTCTGGCCTCGTCGCGCTCCTTCTTCACACCCTCAAGTTCCTTACGGGTGGTCTCGTACTCCTAATATCACAAGGAAACAGAAACAGCTTACACAGTTAATTCAGTTTCTCTCTCCACATGTGCGCTGTGCTCATTTCTCTTGTTTACACTCGACCACTCACCACCCATGGTTTCTTCTTCTCGAGCAACTCGATTACATCCAGATGCCTCTTTTTTTCGTAGTAACGGTTTACATCGTGTTTATTCCTTTCATTTCGCTGCTTGGCTTTCTCCAGGAAGCTTGCTTTCTCCTTCACAACGTTCTACAGAGAAGCAAAGAGCCATGTTGCCGTTACATGTCTTTAAGAGGAGGACAACTTAAAAAACGAACATGCATGAATTTTGTTGCAGTTTTTTTCTTCTTATTTCTACCACATCAAACTTTGCCTGTTGGATCACTGGCTTTGAGCTTACCTCCAGTTCTCGTTCTTTATTGCGGAAGTTTTTGAGCTCACAGTGGTATTCATACATCTCTGGTGGGCCCACTGACTTCTCAGTTGCTTCCAGCAACTCAATTTTGGACATCTTGGCAAATTCGCCCACTTTTTCCTGCGTGGGGGAAAAAAGCCAGTAAAACAGTGATGAAACTGTATATTTTTGCATCTGTGCAGCTTTATGTTGCAGATGTATAAACATACCTGAGGTAGAAACTGACAGAGGTTGCTGACTTGGATGCGCAGAGCTTTGACTTCCTCTTCCACCGCCTTCTGGCTGCACTGCCGATCATTCAACATCCACAGAGACTGATTGTTCTCCGCATGTATCTCTCTAAAAATCACCACATTACCACCTCTTTTGTACCTTCAAAAACAAAAACAAAGGCTAGCGTTTAGAGTCATATCACTATGCTGAACATGATAACGCAGGTGATGTAACAACTTCTGGCAAATTTTCATTTCATTTTTGAAAAGATGAAAAGGTTCAGAATTCAAACTTCTTGTCTGAAAAGATTCATGAACAATTTCTGAAAACATGTAACGCTAACGGAGCAGTAGAGTAATGTAGCGTGTGGAATGTATTTCACATAACTTACAGTTCAATTTCAACATGGCCTTTTTTGCAACCACGCTTGACATAGAGCCCAACCTTTAAAAAAACAAAGCACCATTCAATAATCATAGTCAACAAATGCAGTATCTGCTATGTGAGCTCAATTCAAAGTATCATATTTTGACTGTTAAAGGGGCGGGGAGATGAGAAACAACAGTGCATGCGCTGCAAAAGAGCAATGAAAGATTTTCATAGAGGCGTGCTTATCACCACATACAGCTTGTTTACCAGTCTGCTAACATTATGTTTATTTGCTGGTCTTTTGAAAAGAAAACAAATCCGAAATACGTTTGGAGTGCATCAATCAATGACTTGCATTGCTCTGTGGCTTACCTTATCACCTCTGCCAAGAACAGCTGTCTTGCCAGCCAGACACAGACAGATGGCACACACAATGCTGGACTTTCCAGTACCATTGGCCCCGACAATCATGTTCAGATTAGGTCCAGGATGCACCACAGAGTAGTCGTACGTTCTGTGAGTACAAGGTAGACATTCAGGGGTTTCCTGCAGTGTTTTAGAGCAAAGGTGCTCCATCTCGCCTAAAATAATTGCAATCTACACTAACAGTACAAATGAACGTAATAACATAAAAGTGGCAATACTGCTATCTTACACTTCAAATGGCTGTCTGTTAGTGAGACCTGAAGTTTCCCACATACGGTACCTGTTCATCTGGTCATACTGCTTAAGCATTTGTGACAGGCAGACTCACAGTGAAATACTTATTTACAACCACTCTTATCCCTGCACAGGTTCTGCAATTTTGGAGGCTGGTTGACAATAATACAAATATGTATTACAGATTAACTAGTTAATAAATGTAGAATAGTCTGTATAGCAATGAATGTTTACTTAGTCTGCCATAATTTTCATTAAAAAAAAACTTACAGGCAGGTATGGATGACAGTAAGATGAAAATTTATACCAGTAACTGACTCTTGGTTAGTTTTCTGAGTGGAAAAGAAGCTCTGAACAGGTTATCAATATCTACTTATCATCTCTGAGTGTGAACATGGTTTAGAAACAGACTGAAAAAAGGGGATGCATGTAAATCGCTGTTAAGCTCCACTGCCTTTTTATACAGAATTTATAAGACTTAGGGTATAGGATTTTTATTGACTGGCTGGATTTGGCACTTTGCTTTAAGCTAGAGCTGCCTGTGATTCTCATCCCCTTGAAGTAGAAAGCAATGGAAACAGACGTAATGATAACGAGTTCTTAATGGGGAACCCCTTCTTTAATATATCGAGTCTATTTTAACACCCGCCTTGAATGTGACCCCTTAAATCGTACAATTAGATAGGAAAGCTCACTAAAATACCTCATTTGGACTTAACTGTAGCTGCTGGACCATATAGTCGGTCTGTAGCAGCTTCCATCAGTGGGTCTACGACCTGCTCGTGTTTACAGGGCTCAGGGTTTAACTTTTAATTGCAAACTGGTGGAAAAATGTTAGCATATATGCTATCTAGGTCATCTGGCTGTAGCTATCAGCAGGTAAATCGGGGTGTTCCGGCAGTTTCACTTTACAGACGTTGACCGCTGTCAACTGGGGAGCAGCAACTTACAGGAAGTTCTTCATGGTGATCCGAAGTATGGATCCCTCCACAAATCGACCCTCCCCCTCGAGTCCTTCGTCCTGACTGTCCGTGAAAATGCTCGATAAGCTTTTACTCGAAGTTTGTGAGCTGCTGTTAATGTGACTGAGCCTCTGCCGCTTGCTGGGTTCGGCCATGGTGACCCCAACAGGGAACCTACAAGACAACCAGGCACGTTCACGCACACGGACAGACACCTCGCGCGCTTTGCCGAGTTGCTGCTGAAAGCCGGTTGGACCAAAAAGATCACGTGTATACACAATAGCGACCACAGCGCCAAAGCTATCGCGAGATATGAATTTTACCCATACAATAACAAACGTACAGCATGCACCTAAAATGTTTGATTTCCAAATGATAACATACTATATTAGAAAATAAAAGGAGAGTAGAAAATACTCGAAAACATAATTTAACACGTGCAGGTGATGTATGTTGTGTTAGCGTTAATAAGAAAGATTTCTAATGAAGTTTGCAGTTCAGTTATGGGGAGTTTTAAATGTTATTATACCCTATCATACCCATCTATGTGTGTCTATGTTGACCAGTTTCCCCTGAAATGCAAACTGATACTGGTCCAGGCAAGATTAGTATGATGGATTAGTGCGGAGTGCGAGAGTTTAAAAACAAGTGTTATGAAGGTTTTAGATTCGATTCATTAAGTCCTAAAATATAAATTGTGGCCAAAGTGGATCATTCTGAAAATTCGAAAAGTGCCTAATGGGTTTTTTAAATTAACATCTCCACAAGTCAAAAACAGAAATGGGCGGTGATAACATTTCTGAGGATTTGGATCATCTTATCTCTGGACTGTGACTCGGTGTAGCTGTTGAGCTGGCTGCAGATCTGGAGAACCATGGACGTTGAAGGAAATTAAATTGTATTTTTTTTAGACAAGGTCAGAAAGTTCAAATCTTTGGATAGAGTTTAATAATATTTGTAAATATAACTATTTTAAAGCCAAACCCGTTTTATTTATTTTTGGGAAAACAATTAAAGCTTGTACAGTCAATCTTTGAAAATAAATACAACAGAAGTCAGTCCTTAAATGATCTAAATTACTTGATTGAATTAATCCCGTATAGCTCTGTTCCCACTCTCCCCCTTTCGCTTTGAATCGGTCGCTTTAAGGGAGGAAAAACTGCTTTTGACTAAAGAAGCAACTTTAGGACTAACACACCTAGCTGTTTTTACCAGGAAAACGAGCGTTTGGTAAGCCTTGCTTTCCTGGTATTTTCAGTCCGAAGCCTGTCTGAACTCGTTTTAACCGTTAGAATAAGCGTATGTGACGAGCAGCCGTTTCTTTAGGTCGTGCTCCTCCACGGTTCCTCCTGCTGTGGTTAGATCAGAATCGCCTCTGTACTCATTGACCACTGCGAAGCTTGAGATGAACTCAAACTCTCACAGAGCTAGTATATCTGATCAATTCATCACCTCTAACCACGGCACGGAGCGTGGAGGCCCTGAAAGTTTCTGCCGGCTGCACATCGCCACAAAGGCTCGCAAGCGCGTTTCCTATCATCTCCGGTCAGAGCAGAGCCACCTCAGACCGGATCAAATAAGATCAGTGTGTAGGTTTTTAAAATGAACACAGACACGACACACTCACACATCATTCACGCACTCACTCAAACACACAACCATTCACTCACAAGCCATTCAAACTATAAGGAATACGGAGCTTCCGCTTCCGGTTTAAAGCCAAAAGCCGCATGGGATTATGGGACATCGACTCCGACGATTATTTAGCGACATCACGTGGCCACCAGTAGTAACATAATATACATAAAACAAAATTATGAAACCATCACCTAAATCCCCAAATATATTTCATTGAATTAATTCAAATGTAGGCAAAGCTTTTTAAGTGTTAAAAGGTCTTCATCTTCTTCTGGGATCACCACAGCAGATCACCTGTGTCCCTCTTACTCTGCCCCTAGCTCTATATTCATCGTCTTTTGTCTTCCATCCACTATCCCCCCTCAGCACATGCCCAAACCATCTCTAAAATTGTTTCCAACGCTCTCAGCCTGAGTTGTCCCACTGATGTTATTTATTTCTAATCATTTCCATCCTGGTCACTCTCAGTGAAAACCTTAACATTATCAACTAGGCCTCCTGTCTTTTTTGTTAGTCCCATGATCTTCTCTCACTACCATCTTGTAAACCTTCCCTTTCACTCACTCTGCTCTGCTTCTGTCAGAAATCCCCAACACTCGACCCTCCCTGCACTCTCTTCTTCGCCTCTCTGTTGCTTTGGATGGTTGATCCCATAAATTACTTCCGTTTACCATTATTTCCTTTTACCATCCATGATGGGATGGTAAACGGAAGTAATGGTAAACGGAAGTAATGGTAAAAGAGAGAGAGAGTTATGTAAAATAAGTTTAAAATTTTCTTACTTCCTCCTGTTTTTGATGGTCTTATATTATGTTATGTAATAGAATACTTTCTAACTGTTCCCTTTGGCAAATTCTGTGTGTCTTTATGAGCCAGCAGAATATAATAAGAATAAAGATTTATTTTAATATATATATATTTTAATATATATATATATATATATATATATATATATATATATGTGTTATTTATATATATATATATATATATATATATATATATAATATATATATATATATTAAAGTATGTAGACTAAACCCCACCAGATGACATTTCAGCTTGTATTTATACAACAAGAATTAATCTATTCTTGTTCTTGTTTAGTGTTTATGCCACAGATACATTTAACATAACTATAATGGACCTAACAACTATAAATAAATACAAAATAACTATTTTTGTAGGGTATTTGTAAGCTGAAAAACACAGAAATAGATACAGCATGTGGAAGTCTTTGTGTCCTCAGAACTGATTAAGAAAAGACTGTGTTGTGACTACACATACACTGATACACACTTAAATACATGCAGTGTGATGTATGTGTGTATCGTCATAAGTCTAACCTGAATAAAGTGTTTAGTCAGTATTGTTTTTTAGTAAAACATTCAAACCTCCCTAACTGCTACAAAAAAGTGAATTTAAAGTACAAATACATCAGCGCATGGTTGAAGATGTAAAGATGTGAGCACAGTGGCACAAACTTTCACAGCTCCTGTATGAGAGTGAAAACACAGTCATTCACAAACAACAAATGACAATGCATTCACACAGTCTTCTTGCACATTTTGATATCTGTACCAGTTTATTTACCAGTACCAGTTTCTTATAGATCTAACCAGTAAACATTCACAAAGTTTATGGCAGGACATTTCCGGTTGTACTTGGGTTTTCTATGATCGTCTCAGTCCCCAAACTGTGACAACCATCACCATATTATGTTTCTTTGAAGACCTTTGTTGCTGGACTGTCTGTCAGTGCTAATGGGCTGGGAGGAAGAGGAGTCGACTGGTAATAGTACCGTGTTAGGTTGGTTTTAAGCTGCATTTGTGTCAGCGGCAATTACCTAATCTAACATCTTATGCCGTGTGGGGGTTGTGAAGTAATCTAGAATGGCGTAATAAGATTTCAGTGTCTACTACCACTATTGACTACTGCTAGATGGCACATTGAGTCTGTGGATCTGTCATCAACAACATGCTGGCCTTGGATGCAGCAAGGAAAAAGACGATTGACCGACGGAGTGAGGACGTGCAATTCTTTTAGCAATGGACTAAAACAGGAACGCTGCTGCTGGGCACAAGACAGTGGGCCTCCACCATCCTGCCATGGAGGGGTCAGCTGTAAAAAAAGTGAGTTTTCTAGTTGTTTACTTGCAGCGCTGCCGCCGTCTAGTGAGTGAGAGATCAGTGTCTGGTCTGATGTCCATCTGTCAAAGGTTTAGTTCACCTTTGGTCAGACCACATGTGTTGCTTCAGTGGGCTTACAGTCAAAGTTTATTGTGATTAAAGTACGTAGATGTTATGTAACTTTTCATATGATGGACACTTTGACCACAAATATATAAACTGTGCCTTCTTACAGAATCTTGTTATTGCAGATTAAATATTATTGACACTAATACTCAACAAGTTCATTATAGTTATTTTTAATCTCTGTTATTATGAAACTATATATGTTAGCAGCACAATGTCTGTTTTCATTAAAGACTTTTCTGCATTTTTATGTGTTTTAAACACAAAATTCATTGTGCATATTTTAGCTCCATGGTGGGCATTTAAATGCTGTCTCGAAGTCCGAATTGTTCTGATCAGTGAGCTGATTTGAACATTTGATATAATATTATTGCAATGTCAAAACATTGCTGTTCAATCTTTGATCAAAGTCACATCTGAAGTGATTACATAACAAGGTCATCTTGGAGCCTGGATGGTTTTACATAAGAACAAACAGCCTGAAGATACAAGGCAGCTGTGTTGAACTTCCTAAGAAGAATAAAGTATTTTAATCTGGCAGCAACATTATAATGATTAATGGTCAAAAAAACGTATCTTTTGACTGATTCAGTCCAACAGACAGATTGCTTAGTATCACAGAGCGGCATCGTCAAGCTAACTTCTGACACTTCAGAGCATTTCTTCAAGTAGGTGAGAGCTTCCTGTAATCCATCTGAAACCTTCAGGCCTTAATTGGAACACTGGCTTTCATCAGGCCTTACACCTGACTGGTTATCTCCCCTGCAGGGGCCCAAAATGCCCTGAATCTGGAGGCTTATAACTACAGCAGGAATAGTAAAAGGCACAATACCAAATACAGAGTTTGGGATCATATTTCAGCTGTTGGACTTGTTTATGTCAGCGTCTTGGTCTTATTGGCTTGCCTGACTTTGCCTGAGAAACGCGAGTCATAACAGCATCTGCCATCTGCTCCCTGGTCGCTGTAATCTGTGTCTCCTGGCTATCCGGTTTCAGTGGGTGTGGCAGAAGTAAACGATTGTGTTACAACCACGTTTTCCTTCCACTGTAAGTGGCCTGACTCTGTGTGGTTACATCATTTTATTTGCCACTACAAATAAAGCTCTCTGTCACACACCAAAACTGCATAACTACCTCTCTGACAGACTGGCAGAGCTGTTATGTCACCTTCATTAAACGAAGCTCACGTACTTAAGCAGCACAGTAGGCACCGTCTTTTTTAGCCTTTAGCTAATTATACCCTCTGTCACATGAAGGGACGATCACAACAAAGATGTTTTGACAAACCAGGCTGTGTGCATCAGTGTTCACATGCAAAGTAATTAACTTGTGAAATCACTAACAAAGAGCTTTGTTTTTTCTTTTTCTCTTGTTTGACTTCATATGACATCTCACAGAAACTGGGATATGGGCTTCTCAAAAAAGGTAGTTTAAAGCACAAATGTTGAATGATAGATTAGATTTGATTGATAGCAGAATCATGTATATGTTACCAATCAAATATTGCTATCAGTCAAATATATAGTCGTTATAGTAGGATTAGAATTAGCTAGAAATATCATCTTTTATATTAAGTAGCTTCACCCATCAGTACTGCCGGGTGAATGAAGCAGTGTATTCTGTGTTTAAAATGATCTTCAATGACACTTCGATTAAATGTTACAATTCTGTATCTCCAACAATCAAAACTATGAGGACATTCTGTTACCATGTGATAGTTAATAACAAGGTAGAGTCAAACTTGTTTTTTTTTTCACATTATGAGCTTTAAGAAGAATTTTGAGTTGGTCCATCCACAGGTGACAGCAGCAGTGAGCAGAAGAAACTCAACGGCTCCTCAACAGAAGCGCCGAGCTATCATAACCTGCACCGAGAGCTGCTGCTCAGCCATAAACGGTACGCCGAAAACTCCTTTTACTCTGTGGTCTTAAAGTCGTCACCCACTGAAACAGAGATTGGCAGGAATTTTGTGTTTGCATGTGTCGGTAAAACTGTAGCTCTGACTTTGAAGGGGTCTGCTGCTGGAGGAGAAACCGGAGCTGAAGCGAGTGTTGGAGCAGCGCAGACTGGAGCTGCACAAGGAGGCGGAGATGGCACAACGACAGCCCTCAGACCTGGAGATGGAGCTCCGCAAGAGGCAGCAGAAACTGCAAGAGGTAAGAGGCACATAACTGAGAGGGATTTCACAAAATACTAACAGAATACAACCTGGCTCTTCTCAGGCTTTCTCTTTAACTTTGTTGGGATAAACTGATGTCCTTCTCCCCAACAGTACGAGCAGGAGGAGATCAGGCAGCGAGAGAGTCAGCAGAAGATCCCAGAGTTTGTCCGTGTGAAGGACAACCTGAGGCGCACACAGACGTTTGAGCAGTGAGGCCCTGAGGCTCTCCCATCAGCCCCTGCAGCATCTCACCATAGTGGCCCTAAATCTGGATGTTCACAGTCTACAGAGCTACATCCCGCATACACCATTTTGCTTTACGTTTCTTCACAATGTACTTTGAGTTATCACATTTTGTGTAAGCAATCACTCATACCAGGCTAACATGTAATCCAGAAATACACTATTTTGCCAAAAGCACTCTCTTGTCTGCTTTCACATGCATAGGAACTTGAGTGACATCCCATTCTTAATCTGTAGTGTTTAATATGATCTCAGCCCACCCTTTGCAGCTACAACAGACTCAACTCATCTAAGAAGGCTTTCCACAAGGTTTAGGAATGTGTTTGTGGGAATTTTTGACCATTCTTCCAGAAGGTCAAAAAATTCCATTAGTTGGATGAGAAAGCCTGGTTCACACTCTCCACTCTAATTCATCTCAAAGGTGTT